ATTCTATTCTATTCTATTCTATTCTATTCTATTCTATTCTTCTATGAATATGCAGACGTAGTGTCAAAATAAGAGCGACATCAGTCTGTAGTAGTTTTTTTTAGACATTTAGAAATAGGGAGAACTAAATGTTTAGTTTTAATGATACATTGTGGTTTCATTAAAAAAGCAGTTTTGGCTGCTAAAATTAATGTGAAAGTATTTAAAGTCAAAAGTGAAAGAAAAACGAAAAAGAAGAACCAAACTTTTTTGAAAAACAGAGCAAATGCAACTAGCCAATCAGCGTTGATGCTTTAGACACACCTACTCTTGTGACACGCCTACTTTGAGTCTGCACAGAACCCTTTCTCAACTGATGCAAATCTATTGATGCTATTTTTTAGTTAGCTGTTAGCTAACTTAAAKTTGGCAGRACAGCTGTATTCAAAGTTAGCAAATTAGCCAAGCTAACATTTTTCGTTAGCTGTGCCTACCACCGATAAAACAAAATTTAGTCTTTCATAGAAAACTGAAACGAAGCACKAAGTTACTGTAGAGTTGAGGCTAATGCTAACACACATCTATGAATCCATAACTAATGATCACAGGAGGTAAAGAAATCTCTGGACTTTGAGACTGACCCTTTCCACATCATTAAAGCCATTTTCTGTCGAAGTTTTAGTTAAAATCTGAAATTTATAAAAGTTTTCAAAGATGATGAATGTTGCTTTTTATCTGAGACGTTGCCAACCCTGAGGTCCAGTTCTGAAACRTCTCGTAAAAAGAAAAGGCAGCAAACCAGCAAGCCCAAACCACCTCAACTGGCTCGTTTTGATGAAGAGCAGTGCTTCTACTCCAACGGTCAAAATCCCTCACCTTTTCCCTAAAGCTGAACCCTGCCTGTCTTTAGAGGAAGCTCAACGTTTGACAGCTTCTGCCTTTCAGCTCTCACAACAAATCGGTGGCCCAGAGTCCACATCACAGCCTCGACTCCTGCCTCTCAGGATCATTGAAGGTCTGAGGAGATTCTGTCGACCTTAGAGATCAAAAACACTCGGTGACAACTTTATAAAACTCATACATCACTTTTAAGATCCACTGACAAACAGCTCATAATATCTGGAGTGTGTTATCTGCGAAGGACAAAACTACAAACTGTTTTCACTGCCATCCTTCAAATCTAAAGAGCCAGCTGACACACATGAAATATAGAACCTGGGCCAAAATACGGCTGAAGGTCACGGGCTGAAATCTTCTACCTTAAGAACGGCGCTTGCGATTTCTGCTAATGTCATTTATAATCTCATAACAAGACACGGCTCTTTTCAATAAAAATTCATAAAGCCGTGAGAAATTTCCCATTAAGGGTTCCTGCAGTTCTCTGTAAACAGCACCGAGCGACCTTCTGTTTTGATTTCAGCTTCAAATTACTCAAAGTCTGAGGCGGCGCCGCAGCCCTTTGAGGAAGAGATGGATGAAAGAGGAAGAAGTGGAACAGAGGAGGGCAGGAAGTGTGTGTTCATGTGTGTGTGTGCGTCTCAAGCCCTCACCTCCAGCGTGGTCAGCACAATCTTCTCCACAGAGGAGAAGTAGGCCTCCCAGAGGAACTGGGTCTGCTGTCTGAGGGACAGGATCCGGTCCTGGTGGATGGAGTGCACCGTGGTCGGGATCTGAAACACACAATCAGTCTCTGAGCTCCGTAACTTCTCACAGCTACAATCAGGCAAAACGTTTGGAAGGTTTGAACCAAAATGAAAGTCGGTTTATTCAAACCAAACAATCTTTAAGATAAAAGCTGAAATTTAGAGCAAGTGTTCCTTCACAAACATCTCCCCCTCTCCATCCATGCTGCTTATTTGTGGTCATGTTTAGAACTTTATTT